TTCTGAATACAGCACTATGGTTGAAGTAAGCACATGCCATATCCAGGTATTGCGATCCTTGTCCAGTAAATAGCCACACAGTACTGGCACAGCGTTTTCCCGAAGTGGCGTTGGCTGGCTCCCCAGTTGCCGCCCAGGTCGACTTGAACGTGGGGGCCACCTCAACAATTGCGTGAGCATTGGAACCTCCAAATCCGAACGAACTCACCGCACCCAGCAGTGGCTGCGACTCGTGAATCCCAAACAGGCCATCGAGGGGAACACACTTGCTCGGAAACATGAGGCCTCTGTACTTGTCGCTTCTAGTCACGTCAATGTGTGGGTTTAGCATGTTTAGATGCAGATTTGGAGTAGCCATTCTGTGTTGCAGGACCAGAATTAGCTTGATGAGTCCCGCGATGCCTGCGGCCCCTTCAGAATGCCCCATGAGCGATTTCAAGGCGCCCACTATCAGTGGGGGACTGTCTGCAAAGCCATTGCAGTAGACTGCGCGGATCGCTCCAATTTCGATAGGATCTCCCAGAGACGTCCCAGTACCATGTGCCTCCAACACCGACACATCTGCAGGCGATTTTACTTGGGCATCGTGAAGAGCTGCTCGAATGACTGCTTGTTGAGCAGGGCCGTTGGGCGCAGTGAGACTTGCGCTTCTGCCTACGTGGTTATTGGCAGCACCCCGAATCCAGGCGTAGACAGCCCGTGGGTCTGTGGAGTGACGCGGTAGAGCCTTCACCAGTATTGCGCCACATCCCTCACTGCGGACATAGCCGTTGGCAGAGGCGTCGAAGGTTTTGCATCTTCCATCAATGCTGAGCATGTGCGCTTTGCACGTCTGTTGGTAGGCCTCCACTCTTAGCATTAGATTAACCCCTAGAACCAAAGCCTGTGAAATCGCTTGACTTGCCATATAACTAAGGGCGAAATCAAGGGCAACGAGAGATGATGAGCAAGCGGTGTCAAGTGTCACACTTGGTCCAGAAAAGCCATTCACATATGATATTCTGTTTGACAATATGCTGATGTGTGCTGCAGTGACAGTAAAGGCAGTAGCACAGGGCCCTCCCTCAAGGGCTGTTTCGTGATTCATTGAACCAACAAAGACTCCTGTGACGTCCGTGTCTGTTGCACCTCTTTCAACGCCTGCATCCGAAAGAGCTTCATAAGAAACTTCAAGGGCCACCCGCTGTCTTGGGTCCATTTGCTTAGCCTCCAGTGGAGATATGGAAAAGAAGTGACAGTCAAAGGAATCGATATTTCTGATTGTTCCCCCCGCACATGTATAAATTTTCCCGTCAGTAGATGCCTTTGTGTTATATGCGTTGATGTCGAATCGTGACAGCGGCACGTCGCTTATACAGTCTTTCGCCTTTAGAAGCATTCGCCAGAATTCACGCGGATTAGGGTCAGAAGCTGGAAATCGGCATGCCATTCCCACTACTGCAACTTCGACGCCTGCTGCAGCTTCAAAAGGTGTCACCGGTTCGACAAGTGCAGCGGGCTTGCTTTCAGTGTCGTTATCCTCGCCTACTTCTTGCAAAAGAAACTTCGTCAGCGCGTCGACAGTTGGATGGTCAAATAGAACAGTTGCGCTGAGTCTTACATTCAGTGCGCTTTGGACTGAGTCTCGGAACTCAATTGCCCCCAAAGAGTCGATTCCAAGCTCCTGTAAAGGAGCGTCTGCACTTAAGTCGGTAGAATCATTCAAAACAGACTTCGCAGCCGTCATGATGGCCTGTTTGATGCGCTCGCGCTTATCCTTT